GTTTAACCTCTCTTGAGTCTCAGGCTTCATGCCTGTAAAGTGGGGGTGATGTGAATTAGGCTAGGTAACAGCACAATACTTGACGTGGCTTAACTATTAACTATAATTTCTGGTAAGTTGGGTGCTCGGGAAACAACTGCGATTTCAAATGAGGTTGGCTATTTGAGGGAGACCCTTAAACATTTCTTAGGGGATGAAAGGTTGCCCCTCCTGATGTGGACAGGTCAAAGATAGGCAGTCCTGGCCAAAGTCATTTCCATTGGCTTTGGACAGTAACTAGGCCTAATTTCTGAGTTCTGTAGGGAAGATTCCTTCAGGGCCAATTTCCTACCTCCACCCTCAGAAACAGGAAATTGTAACCTTTAGCCATTGTTTAGGCTACTCCTGGGACTCATTCATTCCTTTACTCATTCCATAAGCATTTCTGTTTTCTTTTTATGCTGTATTGAGGACTGAACCCAGGAGCACTCTTCCACTAAGCTACGACCCCAACCCTTTTTCTTTTTTATTTTGAGGCAGGGTCTCACTAAGTTGCCAAGGTTGTCCTCAAACTTGCCATTCTTCTGCCTCAGCCTCCTTAGTGGCTGGGATTACAGGCATGTGTCACTGTGCCAACTCACAAGCAATTTTTTTTTTTTTTTTGTGGTGCTGGAGATTGAACCCAGGGCCTTGTGCATGCTAAGCAAGCACTTTATCAACTGAGCTATATCCCCAGCCCTCACAAGCACAGCACCACAAAGTAACAGTAAAGGCACAGTAAAGGCAATAGAGACACGGGACACATGCAATGTATTTTTCTGCTGCTCGGTTATCAAAGGAGATTGCTATTAAACAAATAATTCCAAGATAATTTTATTTCATAGTTGTGGTAAATGCTAGAGCTTTTTCTCAAATAATCCAACTTTCCTGCCAGGTGCAGTGGTGCTGCCCATAATCCCAGCAACTCAAGAGGCTGAGGCAGGAGGATCGTGAGTTCAAAGTCAGCCTCAGCAATTTAGTGAAGCCTTAAGCAACTTAGCTAGACCCTGCCTCAAAATAAAAAAAATAAAAAGGGCTGGGGATGTGGGGATATGGTTAAGTGCCCTGGGTTCAATCCCTGTTACCAAAAAATCAACTTTCCTTGGCACCTCTTAGTCCAAAGGACTCTGACACAGTAATTCAGCCCATGAGGAAAGGAAGCAAAAAACTAAGGTTCCAGGATGAATTTTTCAAATAGCAGCCACAGAACCAACCATAATGTTCTAAAACTTCACCTGTGAGTGTCACTGCACATTGGAAGTTGCCTGTTGTTTGCTTTAGGAGATCACAGACACCACTGAGCTCCACTGGGCTTTCTTTCTTTTTTTTGTTTTTGTTTTTGTTTTTGTTTTGTTTTGGTACTGGGACACTTAACCACATCCCCAGCCCTTTTCACTTTCTATTTGGACATAGGGTCTTGGTAAGTTGCTTGGGGCCTTGATAAATGGCTGAGGCTGACCTCTAACTTGCAGTCCTCCTATCTCAGCCTCTCAAGCTGCTGGGATTATAGGCGTTCGCCACTGTGCCCAGCTGCACTGATCATTTTTACGTGACCTGCTTTCAGTTCTTCCTAGGGAAATAAGTGTAGAAAGGTAGATTTGTGGGGGTTGTGGTCTTCAGTCTCAGGAAAAGTAACCACAGAGCAGGGTCACGTGATGTGTGCCTGGGGCGACATCCCTACATCTGGACAGAGCAGGGTCTTTGGCCTCCTGTATGGCTGCATTGGCACCCCTGGCACCCAGGTTGGTTATTAAATTAGAGTTTGTGCCTTTTAAACATCCTCCATACTGTTTGAAGAAGTTACAATTAGTATTTCCCAAGTAGCTTAGCAGAACTTGGTTGCTAGGCAGCAGACCTTTAAAGACAATTTGTTGATTTCTGCCAAAAGACAGAAAAGTAGTAAACATTCACGTTCTAAGAAAATTGCTTGTTTTCCAGCCACATCACGAATTCCATTCATCAATATGTGCATCAGTGTCCATTTTATTCTTTACTCAGTTTACATAAATTATTCAGAGTTGTTATTCTTTTCCAAGCCTAACCCCTGGCATATCAAAATAATAAGATGTTTAGGTTAGAAACTGGCTGCCATATTTGTGGTCAGGTAATGTACAGAGGCTACTACGGAAGGTAACAGAGTACCCAGCTGCCCAGCTATAGCCTGGGGCAGCACCCAAGGAAGAGGTGGCTGATCCATGGAATCATCTCCAGTTTTTCAACATTTGTTTGCACCTAGCGTGTGCCAAGCCCCATGTGCACTGTGGTCTAGCCAGACTTCCATACTTTCATTTCTTAGTAGGGAAGTCATGGCGGGAAACCAGAAGCTTCCAATACAGGTGCTGTGAGAATTCCAACAACATCCAGAACCCAGCCTCATATTGGGCAGGGCTTCCTGTGCTGAACTGGAGACCTTCAAGATGAAGCATGCCAGGCCCACTTTAGTGAGGGAGAAGAGTGATTCAGAAGGAGACTCCCGTGTAAAAAGCCCTTGGGAGATTATAAGTGCTCGATGCCTTTGACCACTATAGACTTGCACTTCAGCCTGAGGGCTATGGGAAGACAATGGAGAGCCCCTGAAGGGCTTGGAACTTAGAAAGGACACCATCAGATTTGCATATTCCCCTTGGGGAATCCACCTGATTTGGCTGAAGGTTGATTCTAGGGTTTTGGACTATAGCTTGGGGGGTGGTGTGGCTGGAGGCCTTGGGGAAGGAAGTACAGCATGGCTCCGGAGTTGTGTTGGCCTGGCCTTTTGCCACTTTCAACAGGTAAACCTTGGGTAGGTTAACTCTCCAGGTTTCTCAAGTCCAAAATACCTACCTCTCAGATTGGTCTAGGAACTACTACTAAGTCAAAATTACAAGTAGCTGTCTGTCACACAGCCATGTCTCTGCTTGATAGCTGACAGTCATAGAGCTGACCTCCTTGTGGAAACCCATTTAGTTTTTTCCCATGAGTCCTGTCTGAAAGGGCCAGTAATGTCCAGTCACCTGATTGCAAGTTCAAATTCAGCCCTAGCAACTTGGCGAGGCCCTAATAAGCAATTTGACAAGACCCTATCTCAAAATAAAAAACATAAAAAGGGCTGAGAATGTGGCTCAGTGGTGGTATGGTGCCCCAGGTTTCAATCCCTGGTACCAAAAACAAGAACTTAAAAACTTAGAACTTTGTTAGAACCAGGCTTATCTCTGAATTTGAGTCACTTTGAGGTCAGCTCACTCTAGGTCCTATGTGGGGGTGGAGGTGAGGGGGGTTGGGGAAATAATTCAGCTCTAGCCCTCTGGGCCTCCAAGGGTCCCCAGAGGCCTCCCTGGAGTAAGCCTTCCATTCCTGAAGAGATGCTGCTGAAAGGAGCCCCAAAAGCACTCAGCGCCTGAGTGTGTGCTCTTATATTAGCTGTCTTGCTGCTTGCTAATAAGATATGCAAATTATCAGGGCTGTGAGATCTTAGCCACATTCCATCTTCTGTTTAATTAGCATTTAATCGTAATCTGATTTTAATTTTTTCACACTGGCACCCTAATTAAATGTTAGGGTGTTAGCCTTAACAATTAAATTATATTGGCAAATAGAGTCTTCAGGAAACTTGACCTTTTTCAAGCCAGGGCCCTCTCTAGCTAGATGCAGATGTTAATTAGATTCTGCAAGATGCTGCTTCCAGATCCATCCGTGCACCCATTTAGTTTTTTCCTTGTGGTAATGGCTCTGGATTCCAGTGGGGCTCATATAGCTGGTGAGTGCACCCCCAGCAGGCAGAGGTTAGCACTGAATTGGTTTGTCAGGAGCCTGGTGAAAGCCAAGTGAGCTGACTTTGCTCCAGGCATAATGATAGACATGACGGGTTTGGAGGTTGAATTTAGGACTGGAATACTCCTTGAAGTGGTTTCTCTTGTCTCATTGATGTAAGTTCTTCTTTAACTTGTGATTCTCAAGTGATGATTACCAGGGAAGTTGGTACCTGAGCAAGTCATATGGTATCTAGAGGCACCACCATCTTCCACAGCAGTGCTTTGTGGGGGGGCCACAGTGGGATTAGGCAGTGGAGTCTGGAGGCATTGCCAGAGCCAGCTGGGAATGTGTTTGGAGATGGTTCTGGGACGGAGGTGGAGGACAACAAATAGAATAATGGGGACAGCCGTTTTCCCTCTGAGTGAGCTGTAGATAGGTGCTCAAGAAATCCAAAAGCATTTTGAGGTAGCCTCATGGGCTGGCTGGCCCTGAGGGAATGAGGACAGATTGAAGAGAGAAGACAACTGTCCTCTTCTACCCCATCACACACTGAGGGTGGTAGTATAGAACACCACTGAAGGCGGGAGACAGTGTCCTTGTTCTTGTGGGACCTTGGAGGTCCTGACTCATAACATGGTTACTCTCCAGGCTGCCCCAGGTTCCATCCTCTCCCTGCACTGTGGCCTTTTATTTTCCTGCAGTTGGGCTAGGGATGTGTCTAGAGATAGAGTACTTGACTTGCACACACAGATTCTCCAGGACAGGACTAGGGTGGGGTGAGGGGGTATTTTCCTGGGGTTGCTATTTAGTGCTGTTTCATATCTCTCCTTGTGCCTGTGGGTGCAAATCTACAGCATAATTTTAAACTTCCAATCGGTGAGTATCACATTCACAGATGCTTTTCTGCCCTCTGAGGTTTTTTTCTTTTGTTTGTGTTTATTTTTTTGTTTTTGCCTTTTTCTGCAATTCTTTTTCTCCCCTTTTAGGAAGAAAAAAATCCCATTGGTCGTTCAAATTCTGTCCTTTTTTAACAGGTTAGAACCATGTGAATTCAGTTCCTCGTGTTTATGGAGCATGTACTATGGGAAGGGCATATGCTGGTTCAGAGAAGGTGTTGTTCCTACTGCTTTGGTTTATTTCTAAGTGAACAGGCAGAAAGTCCGCTTCGGTTGCATTTATATGCCTCTTGCCACAGCTTATGGTCCAGACCACCCCAAGGTGATCTGAAATCCCCTTCTCCTCTCCCCTGCCAGGTTTTCCGGACAGACTTGATCACAGCCATGAAGATTCCAGATTCATACCAGCTGAGCCCGGATGACTACTATATCCTGGCGGACCCGTGGCGACAGGAATGGGAGAAAGGTGTGCAGGTGCCCGCCGGGGCAGAGGCCATTCCAGAGCCGGTGGTGAGGTGAGACAGGCAGTGCCCAGGAGGAAAGGGAGGCTGCTCTCCCGAAAGGGACCTACCAGTCCTCGAGTTCCTTTTGTCTATTTTGTATTCAGTTCTCTTATCTGATAAATCATTGAAATATTCTAGAAATACTCTAGAAACACTTTTCAGGCTTTGGACCTTGGCTTGGGTTCAGCTCTGGAGCTAGACTGCTTGGATCCAAATTGTCACTCACATTCAGTGTGACCTTGGGTCAGAATCCGGATCTCTCTGGGCCTCCATTTCCTTGTCTTAGAAATGGGATGTCACTCTTAGAATGATGTCACTCCGGACTCGATTAGAAACATCTCTAGACTTTTTTTGGTAACAGGGATTGAAGCCAGGGCCTTGTGCATGCAAGGCAAGCACTCTACCAACTGAGCTATATCCCCATCCCATCCCCATCCCCCTTTTTATATTTTGAATAGGGTCTTTCTGAGTTGCTTAGAGCCTCAGTAATTTGTTGAGGTTAATTTTGAACTTTTGATTCTCCTGCTTCAGCCTGCTGAGACTCTGGGATTACAGGCATGCATCACTATATCTGGCTCCCGGTCTTATTTTTTATTTTGAGACAGGGTCTTGCTAAGCTGCCATGCTCTTAACTTCTTTCCCTTCTTTTCTTTTGCAGTACTGGGAATTGAACCCAGGGCCTTACATATGCTAGGCAAGCAAGTGCTTTACCACTGAGGTACATCCCTAGCCCTTTTTGTTGATTTACCTATTTATTTGGAGACAAGGTTTTGCTAAATGGCTCAGGTTAGCCTTGAACTTATGATCCCTCTGCTTCAGCTTCCCAAATCGCTGGGGTTACAGGTGTTATGCCTGGCTCTTATCTTCTTTTAAAAGGCCCTTTAAAGGAGTTCTTACAGAGGGTCTGAGTCAGAGAGAAGTCTTAACTGGGCTTTGGAGCCTTCCAGTTTCATGGAGTACTAAGACTCCTGGGTGCTCTTGCAGGATGTAGCCACATTGCCATAGGTTGTGCCTCCAACTAGAGCTCAGTCAGGTGCTTCTTTCTGCACCCTGAGGAACCCTCAAGGTAGGGGGGCCTAGTGTTTTGTCCTTCCCACCCACCAGCCTGCCTGAGCAGGGTAGCTTGGGTTATTGGCAGCCCCTTTCTGGCCTTGGCAGCCTTGGCTCTTGCTAGAGCTCATGTAGACCAAGCTTGGGGCAAAGATCACAGCTGTTCCCTTCCTTGACATTGGCACCATCGATTCCTGGCAACCACACTTGTGACTGGCTCATAGACATTGAGAACCTTAGTGCCAGCCTTGTGCTGGGCACAGGATCATAAGGGAAGCAGATTCAACCCTGTCGGGTGCTCTGTGGGGATTGGCTATTGAGGAGGGCCTTTCCTTGTCCAATAACTTCTGAGGGCTGAGTGCCACCAACCCTTGGCTGGGACTTTCTGAGAATAAGAGAAGGTCTGAACTTCTCTAATGGCCCCTTGGGAGTATATGCTGCATCAGTGAATGAATTGGACAATAGAGATTATTCTCCACATCATTTTCTAGGGCCAGCAACATGGCTGAAGCTCCTAATCGGTTTTGTGCCCTCACCTAGGCAGACTGGAAAACTCTGGCTTGACCTCTTTGAGCCAGTTTCTTCCTCTGTGAAATGGGGATAACACCAGAACCTGCCTGATGGTGTGGTGGTGAGAATACACATGCCAAGTTGTCACCACATGTGCCAGGGCCCAGGGTAAGGAGAAGGGGCAGGCCACTTTACTGGGCAGAAAAAAGCCAGTCCTGATCGGGCCTGCCCCAGCAGTCTGTCCTTTGTACTTGATGTCAATGTCAGGTGGTTCTGGAAACATCCACAGACCTAGGTAATTAATTGCAGATGCTTCCACACCAGTAGCTTAGTTTCAGAGTGCCTGTAGGGTACTTTATCTGTTGACATCAAGAGGAGAGCACATGTTCGGGCTGCCTTGGCTTCGTGACGTGCATTCCCAGCATATGCACAGCTGCACCAGGATGACAGGAGCCAGGCGCTCCCGGCCTGTCCATGGTTTGGAAGGGATAAGACGGGTGTTCTCTTGGCGAGCTCTCCATGCCTCCATCTGTGTCTTCCCCAGCCCAGCCCAGCCCATCCATCTCCCTGGCTGCCTCCTACTGCACAACCCTTGTCTGAATATGTGCGTGGCGGCCATCATGGCCAGAATTGCCAGAGCTGCTCTGAGCCTGATGATTTGCTGTACTGAGCCTGGGATGTTCATTTTCTCATTTAATGATCTTACTTGCCTTGTAAAGTACAGAGTACTGTCCCCATTTTATAGATGAGGAAGTTGGGAAATTCTGGGGACTTTCCTGCAGGGTTGCTGGGGCCTAGTGGGCTGGGCCAGGAAATCACAGGCCCCACGAGCAAGCCCTGGGTTATCTGTGTGGGGCCCAGAGCAAGAGCCTTATGCATGCTAGCTCGAACTGTTCTCCCCAGTTACTGTCCCAGCCCCTCTATCCCTCCCTCCCTGGCCTTTTGGGCAAATCTGCCCACCTTACCCTCTAAATCTGAGCGAGGGCCTGTACCACCCCCTTAGTATAGCCAGAAAGCCCAGGGCCCAGCCAGCCTCTAGAGAATGTCTCTTAATGGGATAGAGACCCTTTTCTCTCCTACGGGTCTCTACCCAGTGGTCCTCCAGCTGACCTCCATGCCATGTCCAACGGTCAGGTCAGTCCATGCCTGGTAGGAGATCTTCCTTGATAGCTAGAGCAAGAAGGGGACAAACAGGTGAAGATGGGAGTCCCAGGAAATGCATTTTTCTGGTGTGAGTCCTTCAGCCCTGGCTCCCCAGAGAGAAGACACTGATCTTGTTCCCTAGAGGTCTGGCCAGGTAACAGCTGACAGGGCAAGCAGGGTTAGGTAGTATTGTGCCAGCAGCTGGGCATTTGGATGAGAGCTGCCCCAAACCCTTGACTAAGCATATGTTTAGGGCACAAACAAAGCCAGATCGTGACCAAATGACAGGCTGCGCTTAAAAGGAAGCATTAGTTCAAATGGCTGTTTCACCGGGAAAGGCAGCATTTTGTTGGACTCGGGTCTTGGTGTAGCTCTGATTGGAACCCCCAGGGTGGTGGTGGGGTGCCACCGACATCATTAAGGTGGTGCCAGCCCTTTCCCTTTCTCTTTGCCCCTCAGCCTTTTCTAGGCCTCCCTTCTGGCCTGGAGGCCTGTCTTCCTGCTTGGGCCTCTGCCTCCCTGTCCCCTGCCACCTTCCTGCCTCTCTTGCTGACACCTGGGGCATTTCCTGGAGCCCAGGCGCCCTCCCCACAGCTCAGCCATGTCTCTGCCATCTCAGGCCCTGCCCTGCTCTCCACAGTGTGCGCTGAGTCACAGCCCCTGGCAGCCCTGCCTCCGACCCCAGGAGGCCTCCCAGGCAAGTGAGGGGCCTCTCAGGCCTGGCAGTGCTGTCCAGATGGAGGCCAGGCTCCCAGGCAATAACCATGGCAACCAGTGGGGGGTGGGAAGAGCTGGTATTTTGGTGTTCTGTTGTTTTGGTTTTTTTTTTTTGGTACTGGGGATTGAACCTGGGCCTCCTATGTGCTAGGTGAGTGCTCTGTGACTAATCTACATCCCCAGCCCTTCTTAAAATTTTTATTTTACTTTGAGGCAACATCTTGCCAAATTGCTCAGTGTAGCCTCGAACTTGTGATCCTCCTGCCTCAGCCTCCTGAGTAGCCACTGCACCTGGCTAAGCACTGGCATTTTGAACTGGCATCAGGATCTGAGAGACAGCATAGGGCTGAGCTGAGGGGACACTGACCTCCTCACAAGGCAGAATTTCCCCCTTGACTATGTATGTGTGCCAGGCACTTTTCTAAGAACTTTATACATATTAATCCTTACAATCCTCTCACTAACTATATAAGGTAGGTACTAATGTCATTAGCCCATTTTTGGGATGAGAACATGAGAACATTCAATGGGGGAGCTGTGATGTAATCTATACAGCCTTTCCAAGCTGCCTCAGAGACAGAGCTGTGTCCCCAAGGGAGAGCTGAGCTGGGATGTGATCCTGGGACCATGGTGGGTGCAATTTTGTATGCAGGAGACTTTGCTTCCGTCCTGGGCAGTGTTGGTGGGGACATAAGTAACCCAAGATATTTGCTGCTTATGTACCGGATCTGGGGAAGGACAGGTGTTGGGCGTTGCTGTAGCTGGGGCTGTAGCACTGAAACCTGGCAGGGCCCCCTCACACCCCCGAGGAGAACTGGCCACAGTTCTACTCAAGACCAGGGCATTTTCTGGCTGTTGGTGAAGGAGGGACCAGGGCTTGTGAAGGTGGGTAGCTAATCAATCCCTGGCCCCTCCCCACCTGGAGGAGTATGTTAAAGGACCTGGAATTGAACTGGCTCTATCCTACTTGTTCCCAAGTGACTGGCACAGGGCATTGCTTGGGATGTCACTTGGGACACCTCCTACAGGCCCAGGCTGATCAGGAGGCTTCCGTTTAGGCCCAGCCACCCTGGTGGGGGGATTGTGGAGATGGGCTCTGGCTGGTCATGGATGTTTACGCAGTGAGCTGGGGCTTCTCCATAGCCCTTTAGGTCTTATATTTCCTGTGTACCCATAGCTATCCGAGTGTCGGCAGGGTGGGCAGATGATGGAGGAAGAAATAGGAGGAGGGGATGCACAGGAGTGGTCCCTGCTGGGCATCAAAAGTCAGACCTCACACTTGGCCACCAGCTCCTCACTGACCAGCTCACTGGAGCCCCCAAGCCTGGCGGCTGAGGGTCCTTCCCTTCATGACAACCCCTCTTGATTTCCTAGGATCCTCCCACCACTGGAAGGCCCCCCTGCACAGGGATCCCCAGACAACTCTGCACTTGGTGAGGCCTCCCAGCCTGATTGGCCAGAGGGCAGCCGCTATGACCTGGACGAGATTGACGCCTACTGGCTGGAGCTTATCAACTCCGAGCTCAAGGAGATGGGTAGGTGACCCTCTGTGCTAGGAATGGAATCAGGACAGGGAGGGAGGGTTTCCTTCCCAGTCGCAGCATCCTCACCCCTAGAAAGACAGTGGCTGAGACTGGGGAACAGTGACTTCTGCGTTACTGATAGGTATAGTTATTTAGTATCTCTGTGCATCCTGAAGATTTTGCAGCTGTCAGGTGGCTGCAATAATAGCATGATTCACAGGGTTCTTGGGACTATTGGAGCAGACATGAATGTTGTAGGAGTAAGTAAACATACAAGCAGGGCCCGGGCATTGGGTATTACCATCCTGGCTAAAGCCCACTGATGTGTCAAGGAAGGACCAGGTCTGCCCTGTTCAGCCACCTTTGGAAATGCCTGCTGCACACAGCATTCCATGCTTTCTATACATACATGTGTAGTCTCAGGCCAGCTGTCTACAATGAGAACACCACACAGGTTAGGAGCTTTTGTGATAGGATGGTCCAGCCTGTTCCATCTTTAGAGGGTGGAGCTGAGTCCCAGGGCACATGGTGGCCAAGCAAAAAAATCTTCCATATATCTGCCCAGAATTCCTGACACCACCCACTACTGTTCTCCCCACAGAGAGGCCCAAGCTGGACGAGCTGACATTAGAACGTGTGCTGGAGGAACTGGAGACTTTGTGCCACCAGAATATGGCCCGGGCCATTGAGACGCAGGAGGGGCTGGGCATTGAGTATGATGAGGATGTGGTCTGTGACGTGTGCCGCTCCCCTGAGGGCGAGGATGGCAACGAGATGGTCTTCTGTGACAAGTGCAACGTCTGTGTGCACCAGGTGGGCAGCCCTTTCCTCCCTGACCTGGTGATGCATGTACCTGCTGCCTGGGTGGACCCCTGTCGGGGCTGGTCGTTCTGGCTGTATGTAGGTGCTCCGGGATGCTGTGAGCCACCTCCCTTAGCAGGGAGGGAGGGAGGCAATGCCATGGATGCCCTGAGCTTCTAGGGATACCAGGGCCCTTGACTCAGCCCCACAGCCAGACTTGAGCAAATGCCCATTGGGTTGCCTTTCTGTCTTCTCCCGTCTACCTCAGACACCCCCGTGGATCATCCTACCCTACTCTACTCTCCCTTCACTTCTCATGTCCTGAACTTCAAAAGAAGTAGCAGCACAGTGTAGTGATTGAGAGCCAAGCATGGAGCCAGCCTGCCTGGTTTCAAAACATGGTTGTGTCCTTCACAAGCTGTGTGACCCTAGACAATGTTGCAGGAGTAAGTGAACACACAAGCAGGGTCTGGGCCTCTTTTTCCCTCAACTATCAATAAAAGTGAGTTATTGGTGCTGGGGATGTAACTCAGTGATACAGACAATGCCTAGCATGTCTGAGGCCCTGGGCTCTATCCCAGCCCTGAGAAGGAAAAAAAAAAAAAAAAAGACTTGTCAAACCTTTAAATTAGCCCTGGTGATGCATGACTGTAATCCCAGCAGCTGGTGGGGAGGTTGGCTGAGACAGGAGGATCATAGGTTCTAAGCCAATCTCAGCAATTTAGCAATTCTGTAAGCAAAATAAAAGTATGGGGGATGTGGCTCAGGGATTAAACACTCTTGGGTACCAAAGGGGGGGCATTTAAATTGTTTATTGTGAGTTATTTGCTTAGTATAGTAGAGTAAGTACTGTGAGTACTTACTACCATTCCTGGTATTATAAACTAGATATAGTCTGGATAGTCCCCTCCCCACCCCCGATTGATCTTGGGCCCTCAGGCTCCAGGTCTTGGGTATCTCTGGGCCTTGTTTCTAAACAACTGACTGGTACCCAGTAGACCCACTCTGACCCTGACTTTGAGGCCATCTGTACCCACTGCTGCTGAACTAGACCCTGGGGAGCTCAGGAGGGACTGCAGGTGGGGTGATCAGTGTGACCCTCATACATCCATGTCCCTTCCACCCAGCATCTCTTAGGTCCAGTATCTCTGTTAAGCTCTAGACATGACCAGGAGGAACCCTGTTCAGATTCCTAAGAAACAGATGAAAACTGTGGGCCTTGGTTCTAGAAAATAGATAACCATTTTTTTATTCAACTTGTGAGGGATCATGGACCCTCCCAAGTTCGTCCTGATTAGGAACTGCTAGCTAACATGAGCCTCCTCCCAGCAGAGGGCAGGCCTGAGCCCTTTCCTGGAGGACTGTGAAATAGCAGGCAAAGAGCTTTCTAGGAGCCCTCATATCATCAACCCTGAGGAGCTGACTGCTGTCCAGGCACAGACTGGCTAGTGCCTTTGACCCGTGACCACCCTGCTCTCTCCCCAGGCTTGCTATGGGATCCTGAAGGTGCCTACAGGCAGCTGGCTCTGCCGGACGTGTGCCCTGGGAGTCCAGCCAAAGTGCCTGCTCTGCCCCAAGCGAGGAGGAGCCCTGAAGCCCACCCGAAGTGGGACCAAGTGGGTGCACGTCAGCTGCGCCCTGTGGATTCCTGAGGTGAGTGGGTGTGGGGGTGTGGCAGCTCAGGGATCAGCACCTGGGGAAGTGGGTTTGCATGGAACTGAGAACTTGGGGATGAACCCATGGGACAGCCCAGGGGTCTTTAAGTGACAGGGTTGGGAAGAACTGAGGCAGCGGTCCATAGGGTTGGGCACAGTTCAGGTAGGCAAGTGGGATGGTGGACTGCTGGGGATTTCAGGAGGTAGATCTAAAGTCTGGGCAGAAGTCAGTTAGCTGCGTGTAGGGGACAGGCTGTGGTAGCTATCAAAATGTGGGTAGTGGTTCCAACCTCAGTCAGCCTGCAAGTTTAAATCACAAATAATCCCACTGACCTGAAAGAAAACCAGGCATCAAGCCTAATGAAAAGTTGGACAGCAGGCCTGTCGCTCTGGCTGTGGTTGGGAAGGAGGGGTCTGCCTGTGGCTGAGGCCAGGTGGGAAGGCCACAGGCTACAGTCTGGGTCCACACGTCAGCAGAGGCCCCCAGTCTCCTAGAATACCATTCATTTTCTTTAAAATGTGAAATGCTGAAATTCATTAGAGTTTCAGCCCCAGCCCTACAGTGTGCTGTGCGGATTGAGACCCCATTCCTATGCTGCCTGTGTCCAGAAATGAGCCAGGTGACCCTGTCAGTATTTGATCCTTTCCTTCCTGGGTTCATAGCCCAGGGGGCCCACATTGCAGACTTTTCTGTGATGGTGGTCATTTGTGTCAGCAGAAACCACTGGCTTTCAGAGCAGCATCTTAAAGGCTGGGACTACCTCTCAGTGTTGCCTGGCCTGGACACAGCAGAGACAGAACCAGCAAGGACCCCACCATGGGAGCCCTTTAGAGAGGGGCCCTTATTCTATTCTCAGACATGGCCAGATGAATGTGTATTGCCTCCTGGCTCCGATGCCCTATACAGGTCTTATATGCAGACCTGTCCCCCTAGGCAGGGCTAAGTAAAGGTAGATCCCTCTTGGCCAGGAGAGGCCTGAAGACCCCAAAGTGGAGATTCCATAAGGCCTGCTCTTGGTGTCTAGGAAAAATGATGAAATTAAAATAAGTTATAGATGCTAACGAGATGCAGAAGGAAAAGGGACTCGCACATTCTCCCCCTTCTCTCACATGCACACACACACAGAAGCACTTCTGTGGGAGGCCAGCACAGTCATCCTGTCAACTGTACATGATGCTCATGTGCATTGTCCCTCAGTCACAGTCCAGGATTAGTCACAGATGAGCACACAATTTGCCCAGCAGATAGCTTGGGACGGTGAGGAGGGACTCGGACCTGTTTGGGGTCAGGAATTGGGATTCAGAGGCTCAGCCACTGTTCTTTCTGCCTACCACCTGGTTTCTGTGGGCAGCCCCCATGTGACAGGTTCCCTGAGGCAGTCTGGGGATTGACACAGTTCCCTATGTCCTGCTCAGGTCAGCATTGGCTGTCCAGAGAAGATGGAGCCCATCACCAAGATCTCACATATTCCAGCCAGCCGCTGGGCTCTGTCCTGCAGCCTCTGCAAGGAGTGCACAGGCACCTGCATCCAGGTACGAAGCCCATTTCACCCCCTGGAGTCTCCTGGAAAACAGACTGCAGTCTCTACCCTCTTCCTGCCCTCACCCCACCCTGCCCCTATGCTACTGCAGTGGGACCACAGATGGGCCCATGAAGTATGGGGCTGGGGCCAGACTCAAGATTACTCCTGGGAGAAGGTGAGCATTCCTTTTTATCCTCAGGTCCTCCAGAGACAGGGTGGCTCACCACCCCATTGGAGCGCTGAGAACTTGGCTTTCCCTGAGAGTGTTTTTAGGCTTAATAAAGACATTTACCTTGCTTTAGACATCAGGCTTGACTTGGGAGTAATGGGAATCAAATTTCCCCTCCAGCTGAGCTAATGGGCTCTCCTGCCACAGGACTGCACTAGTCTGCCTTGGTTCCCAGAATCTAGTGTGCATCAGATCCGGGAGGGCTTATTGAACACACATTGCTGGGCCTCCTTCCCAGAGGTTCTGATTTAGTAGATCTAGAACTGAGAATTGGCACGCTGTCAAAGTCCCACGTGATTCTGATATCTCTGGGGGTGGGGGGCATCCTTTTCCATCTCATCTCTTCAGGAATGGAATTGTTGATGCAGACACTACCTGTGCCTTCACCCATTTATAAGACCTTCAGAAGGGTTTCTGAGTGCAGCATTGCTGGTTCCTAATATTAGGGGGCATTGCTGCTGAAACAAGGCTGGAAGGGAGGGTCAGGCCTCAGCTGCCTGGGCAAGACTGCAGCCCCTCCTCCCAGATTGGCAATGAGGATCCCCGCCTTAGATGATGTCGCAGTAGTAGAGGAGGCGTGGCCCGTCATCAGCCTTTCTTTTGATGCCTTCTGCTCATTTTGCCCACACAGAAATGCAGCTTGTCCCCAGAGGTCACAGAATCATTGACTCCCCAGGAGTGTGTTGTGCCGATCTGTTACCTTTCCAGGTGTCCCAGGGCTCCCCTATCCTATGACTCCTTCCATCCCAGGCAGGGCGTTGGGAGCCCGTGCCATTTTATGTAGGACTCCCAGGCATTCAGCATTGTTAGTGGAGCTTTGTGGCAAGTCCCATATCCTTTTCCTTCTCACCAGGGCTCCTTTCATGCTGCCTTTCTCTCCCTCCAGTGTTCAATGCCTTCCTGTGTCACTGCATTCCATGTCACTTGCGCCTTTGATCATGGCCTAGAAATGCGGACTATATTAGCAGACAACGATGAGGTCAAGTTCAAGTCATTCTGCCAGGAGCACAGTGATGGGGGCCCGCGGTGCGAGCCTACATCCGAGCCCACGGAGCCCAGCCAGGCCATCGAGGACATGGAAAAGGTGACTCTGCGCAAGCAGAGGCTGCAGCAGCTGGAAGAAGACTTCTACGAGCTGGTGGAGCCGGCTGAGGTGGCCGAGCGGCTGGACCTGGCTGAGGCGCTGGTCGACTTCATCTACCAGTACTGGAAGCTGAAGAGGAAAGCCAATGCCAACCAGCCGCTGCTGACGCCCAAGACTGACGAGGTGGACAACTTGGCCCAGCAGGAGCAGGACGTCCTCTACCGCCGCCTGAAGCTCTTCACACACCTGAGGCAGGACCTGGAGAGGGTGAGTAGCCCTGGTAGGCCACCTCAGGAGGCCTTTCTGCTCTGGCTCACTGCCCTGGGACAGCCATCCAGGACTCACCTGGCAGCTGTGGGCTCTAAGATCAGCTAAGGGGCTGAGGGCTTCCAAGTTGTGGACAGTACGGGGTTGGGGGGGGGACTGATACTTTACAGAACACAGAAGGATTCAGCTCTTGCTTCTTTGAATACCTTTAGTCCTAGAGCTTTCTCGGGCTCTGGTAAAGGTAACCTTACCAAGGAAGGGAGGCTGGGAAGTGTCAGAGTTGAGTCAGAGGTCCAGGTGCCTGGCTCCTAATCACTTCTGCCCCACTTCTGGCCTCCATGGCACTACCTGGTCCTAACATGTGAGCTTTAGAATCAGGCAGGAGAGGGACTGAAACTTCCCAAGCTGCCCCACTGACCTATGCTGTGTGGGTCTGGGTATACAGGTGTCAATGTGGCTCCCAGTGGGTACCTCGCAGACAGAACTGAGGCACAAAGCATGGGTGCAGGCATTGAGGGTCTGCAGCCTGCATGGAGTGGAGGGATAAGCCTAGAGTGGCCAGTAGATCCTGTGAGGCTGGGCTGGTGGACCGCAATGTCTGCAAGCTGCATAGGCAAGATTTAAATAGAGATGGTCTCGCCGCATGCCTATAATCCCAGTGGCTCGGGAGGCTGAGACAGGAGGATCATGAGTTCAAAACTAGCCTCAGCAAAAGCAAGGCACTAAGCAACTTGATGAGACCTTATCTCTAAATAAAATATAAAATAAGGCTGGGGTCGAGTGCCCCTGAGCTTAATCCCCGGCACTAAAATAAATAAATAAATAAATAAGGATGGTCTCACTGCACCTGGAATTTCCAAATCCTCCCCAGGGAGGAGGAGTCGCAGGACTGCCGTGAATGAGTTGGCATGCTCCAGGAAACAACCCTGGGTGGAAGCATCAGGGAAGCTTTTGTGTAATCTGAGGTATCTGCTTTTATTACCCACAACTCGGTGAGCAATCTATAAAATGGGTCAAGCATCTCGGCAAGTGTTTTGCTGTGCAGAGGTATCTGGACCCCATTTCCCCATTCCTCTTCACCCCATTTATCTGCCCTGGGGCCCAGACAAAAGGGGAAGTGACCTTAGTGGCCTGAGAGAGGACTTACTGCCTGGCAGTTCCCAGCCTACAACCAGGTCAAAAGGAAGAGGAGAGGGTGGGAGGGGTCACATGTTTCTTGCTATAGCCAGGGCAGAGGGCAAGGCCACCTGCCTTGGAGTCACCACCTCCTGGGCAGCCTGGCCTTCTGTCACACAGGGCGAGGGCATGATACTAGCCCTCTGAGACCAAGACACTTCCAGAGTTGTCCTGAGGCCACCCCCAAGTTCCCATTCCCAGGGTCTCTTGTATAAACAGCTGCTTTGCTCCTGCTGTTCCCAAATGACCCATCAAATCTGACCTCCCTGGTCGTGCTGAGCAGCAGCCCTCCAGCCTAGCCCTGACCCTGGCTAGGCTATATGTGAAGGTCCAGGAATCGTCTCACTTCTGTAATCATCATACTGGAAAAGAAGATTATCCTCCCAGCTGTACCGAGCAAGTGAAGAAACGGGGGCTCAGAGAGATGAGGTGACAGGAAGCCTTAGAGGAGCTTGTTTCCTAGAGACTTCAGAGCTGAACTGCGGGAGGGCTTGAGTCAGGAAATGCAACGTTGGCTCATTCTCTATTCTGTAAATTTCCCCGGGCAAAAGCATCCCCATATCAGTGCCCCAACCTCCCAACTCCTGTGTCCAGCTGGTACAGGTGGAGCCAGGGTTTGAGGCTAAGTTGCCAGCAAACCGGCTGAGCAGGCTCCCGGGGACCCAGGGCAAGTAGGACTTCCACAGACCCCTTCCAAGGCAGGTGTCCTCTCCAGAAAGAGGAGTCAGGGCAACTTTTGATGTCTGTGCAGCTCTTGTGGCTCATGTGGGTCTTGTCTTGTGACTTCCACAGCAGCCACAGGGCTAGGATGGTGGGCACCAGCTGGGAGCAGGGCAAGGTGAGGCCAGCCTTGGCAGGCTGAGGAGGAAGACCATTAGAGATAGCAGTGAGCCAGGTCACCCCCTCGGTGCTCCTGCACCAAGGCCTCTCATGGCCACGCATAGAACTCTGCTGCTGCGGAGGCTTTCTGCAAAGTCCCATGGTGGTGGTGGCCTGGCCAGTGGGCCCAGCCTCTTACCATGGCCCAGTGCCAAGAGCCAAGAGTATCCAGCCTGTGACTGGGCACTGGGCCACCTTGGCCTGGATCCATCGGGGAGGTGTAGGGCAGGGCTTGAGATCGAAGCCCTGGGTGGCCTGGGTCTGTGTCTAGTCCAGTACTTCCCAGCTCTGCACCTTCTTTGTTTCAGTTTCCATGTTATCTGAGTTTTGGTTTCTGTGTCTATAAAATGGGAATAAAAATCAAACTGATCTTGGTTACCGTGAAGACCAGGGACAGAGGTTAATCACAGTGCCCTCCGGTGCTGGCTGCGATTCTTGTCAATGCTCTCGCCCCGAACAGTGTTCAGCTCTTAGCAGGGAAGCCAAGCCTAGGGCTGCAAGGGTGGGCCCCACAAACAACTGAAGAGGCAGGCCTGGTGCCGGGGGTGGGAAGCAGCCTTCCTGATTGATTTGTCCCTCTGCAGTCAGGCAGGGGGTTGCTGAGAGAAGCAGAATCTGGGACTGCCACAGCATGAAATCCCTTATTTATGGTCATCCCAGAAGATGCACTTTCCTAAACATTTCAGCCATAGGCCTTGGCCCTGGTGGGCAGCTCAGGAAAATAAGACCAGCACCGCCTCCCGGAGTTATTCACGGCTGACAGAAAAATTGCAGCACTGAACATCAGCCTTACAAACACCAGCTAGTGTCCCCTAGCAACCACGCTGGTGGTCAGGCTCTGTGTTGCTCCCTATGGCTATGGATCTCACTCCCAGGAGTTTATTTGAGGACCTGTCCTGGGGAAGAGGCCGGGAGGGTAGAGGTACCTATTAGACACACATCTGCCCTGAAGATGGACACCACTGCCCCCCTCACAGCCTCATTACTGCTGCCCTCCCAGGGAGAGAAGGGCTGAGTATGAAATGGGTCCTGCCCTTTCCTGACATTTGCCACCTTCCTCCTTGTCATTTAATCACTCTGTTTACTGTCTTCACTGCCTACATTATAGTCCCCTCATCTCTACTTCCCACTACCAAAGCCTACCTTATCCAGATCTTTGCGTCTTCAGCCTCCAGGACTTCTTCAGCACCTACTGCCCCTGTCCCTCCCCCCAAACCTAGTCACTACCTCCAGCTGCTCCCAGGTCAGTGACACAGAACTCCCCAAACTCCTACCCCTGGCTCTGGTATTAGCTGGGTGCCCGTACCCTTGCCCCCTGTGCTGGGCCACACCCCTGGAAGAGCCTCATGCATGCAAGATACTCTCTGCCCATAGCAGTGAGCAAAGGATTCCCGAGACACCTGCCAGCGGCCTTGTCCAGCAGTGTGGTGGGTTTTCCCAACCTTGCCACCTCCCCTGTGGCTCTCCCTGTCCATTAACAGATAGCTCATCTCTTCCTCAGCCCAGAGACCTCCACTTCCTGCCAGTGAGCCCCTGGACCCCATCTCTGTCCTTGCTGCCTTCCTTCCTCCCCTCAAAAAACCTCTATCCAGTTTACACCTGCAGGGACCCAACTCTGCCCTTTATTATCCCCTCCTCAGGACCTTTTCCACCAGCACTGGACTCAATCAGTCCTGCCTTCCACCTCCCTGGGGTCGTGGGATACTCCACTGCCCTCCCCATTTCTCCTTTCCTGTCATCCCTCATGGGATTTGCTTCCTGTGGCCAGGCTCTTCACCACTACTGCATCTTAGAGCCTTCTGTGTTGGTCACCAGCAGCCTCCACCTCCCACTGTCCGTCCTCATCCCTCACCCGAAGCATTGGTTGTCAGTGCTTTCAAGCTTGACCTTGGCCTTAATCTTTTCATCATGGATGCTCTGACCAGGTCAGCCTTAAGGTCCTGCTTCTTCCCTGGCTCCTCTGTCTGAAGTATCCATTCCACAGCTTTTCCTGTAACAGAGAACTGGTGTCAACCCATATCTCCCTCCTGAACTCTAGCTCTGTAAATCCCCTTCAAACATCTCACACTAAAGATGCCTGCTCCTTCCTGGCCTCCACTTCTCTGGGAGCACCCCAACACTGGTCCATTCTAGCTCAACATCCAGCTTTGAGTCCTCCCTGCTCCTCAGCCCCACACCCAGGCTCTCTCTAAAACTCATTGATTAACAGTACAACTTCATCAAGATATAAAACCTGGGGGCTGGGGTCTAAGTTCAGTGGTAGAGCACTTGCCTAGCATGTGTAAGGCACTGGATTCAATCTCAGCACCACATATATATAAAGAAATAAATAAAGGTATTGTGCCATCTACAACTAAAAGTATTTAGTTTACATTAAATATAATAATATATAGAAATTAATATATTTAAAATAAATAAACCTGGCCAAGTGCAACAGTGTGAGCTTTAATCCAAGCTATTTAATCCAAGGCTGAGGCAGAAGGATGGCAAGTTCAGCTCTCTTTCCAGAGGGCTCTGGAGAGAGCCCCCATGAGATTTATTCCTTGCTCTAGCCCAGCGGTTCCCTTCCTTGAGATTTCTCCCATTCTCTCTTGAATCTGTATCTACTTTCTTAAATAAATCTATCTGTACCTTTGAAGGAGTGAAAAGTTGGGGGGGTCGGGGGTATGCAAGTTCTAGGCCAGCCTGGGCAATTAGGACCCTATCTCAAAAAAAAAGTGTTTTGTTTTTTGGTTTTTTTTAAATGTAAAACCTGGGACTGGGCCCAACGCAGTGGAACACACCTGGAATTCCAGCAGCTCAGCAGGCTGAGGCAGGAGGATCACCAATTCAAGGCCAGGCTGGGCAGTTGATCAAGACCTTGTTCCAAAATAAAACAGAGCTGGAGATGTTGCTCAGCAAGTTCAAAGCCAGCCTCAGTAATTTAGCACCCTAAGTAACTCAGAGTTCCTATCTCTAAGTAAACTATAAAAAAAGGCTGGGGATGTGGCTCTGGGATTAAGTGCTCCCTGGGTTCAATCCCTGCTACCAAAACAAAACATAAACAACAAAAAAAACCACCGGGGGCTTGTATTGTGCTTTGCACTGGGTTCCACACCCAGTACCAAAACAAAACAAAAAAAAAAAAACAGTAAAACTGTGGGACATAACAAGGCCCAAAGCGGCTGGGGCTGGAGCTCAGTGGGGAGGGTGGGGGTGTAGCTTAGTATTTAAGCGCTCCTCAGTTCAATCCCTAGTAGCAATAAATAAATAAATAAATAAATAAAACCTGTGTTTATTACCACTCCCTGCCCTAGTTATTGGAACTTTCCTAGTTTTCTTCTTGATTCATTTTTGTACTGCTATCTTTAAAATGAGAATGTTTTAACTTTGTAGTAAAAAAAAAAAAAAAATGACAGTGTAAGGAGCCTATGGGTCTATGCAAGCTTCTAAAGTGAGATAATACTTCGTCTCCCAGAAGCCATAGGGTAAAGGAATTCAGTATTTACATGCAGTAAAGTGTTGCCGTGTTACTGAGATTATTATGTTACTAAGAAATTAGAAAACTAATAGGTGATTTCAGGGTGAAGTAGATGCTAAAGGATCCATCTCTGTAAGCCCCCTTCAACTGGTGGATCTGGTGGTCAAAGTGTGACCAAAGTACCAATCAAAGAACATTGGGATTCTACAGAAGGAAGCATTCTTGTCTCTGGAGTTGAATCCCCAGGCAGTTTGGTCTTTATCAGTAAAAGAGTTTGAGCTGATACTGCAGGATGTTGTATTTTAAGTATCTCATTCTTCGCTACCACTGCATATTATAGAATAGCATAACTAGACTTTTTAATAGGTTCCAAAAATAATAATAAAACACCAGCAGAAGTTCTGCTATCTTTTCTCTCATGCCACAGTGCATTGTTTAACTCGTTTCCTTTGCACTTTGCTATAGAGGGCCCTGACCTGAGGCAAGTAGTTCTTTGAGTCTGCAGTTCTGTCTAAAATGTGTATTTAAGGCTTCACCCCTAGAGTTAGGTGTCCCCTCAGCCTGAGAATCCACTACCCACTGCAGTGACTTTGAAGCCAGGGATTCATTTGGGCTTGTCTTTTTTTTTTTTTTTTTTTTAAGAGAGAGTGAGAGATAATATTTATTTTTTAGTTTTCGGCGGACACAACATCTTTGTTTGTATGTGGTGCTGAGGATCGAGCCCAGGCCACACGCATGCCAGGCGAGCCCGCTACCGCTTGAGCCACATCCCCAGCCCCCTGGGCTTGTCTTAAGAAGCCTTGCTTTATAGTTTCAGAAGGGAATGTGGCTGTGGTTGAGTGGTTGAGCATTTGCTTAGCATGCATGAGGCCCTGAGTTCAATTCCCTGTACTGCTAATAGCAACAATAAATAAATGAATGAATAAATAGATAAATAAATAAAAAGAGTTTCAGATCAGAGACAAACTATATCTACATCTTACAAGGAAATCAAGTATGGCCCTCAGTGATTTTGGGGGGGAAATTGCAACATAGGACCTTACTTCAAAGGTGGTTCCTCACCTTTGGATGTTAGGTCTAAGAGTGGATTAAACTCCAGGGTGGCGTGTTCTAGAAATGTTTTGAAAGTTAGACCTTGATGAATTTCTCTTTAGATTAGATATGACTAGCTTATATTTTAAGCTCCAAAATAGCCCTGATTGGGCTGGGAACAACAAAACAACCATGATCCATTTCCCTTTCCAAGTCTACCCCCTCACCTCCGAGTCCATATGGCTATTAGAGAGGAATGGGCCAGGCTGTGAGAAGGAGAATAATATTGGGTTGCTTAGATGCTCGAGCCAGGGATGACCTTCTGGAGGTGATATTTGAGCCCAAAGCTAAAGGACAGGGGCCAGCCATGAATAGGTGGGTGATGAGCCTCCCAGGCCAAGGGTGAATGTGTACTAGGGTCCCAGAGTGGAAGTGGGCAGGACAGGGAGAGAAGAGACCTGCTAGGCTGTGGGACATAAGCCATGAGATGAGACATGAGGGAAGTTCTATTTGTATCCTAGTTTTGTCCATCAAGGTAGCATCAGCTAGATGACTTTAAAGCAACAGAAATTTGTCCTCACGGTTCTGGAGGCTGGAAGTCCAAAGTCAAAGTGTCAGTGGGCTGGTTCCTCCTGCAGGCTCCAAGGGAGAGTCTGTTCCACTCTCCACTCCTAGCTTCTGGTGGTCCTGGGAAGCCTTGGAATTGTTGGACTCCTGGGTGCATCACTGCAGTCTGTGCCTCTACTCTCATGCCATAGTCTCCCTGACTGTCTCTATGTCCCTGTATCGTCACATGGTCTTTTATAAGGGCATCAGTCAGATTAAGGGCCCATCTTAATTCAGTGTGGCCTCATCTTAACCAATGACAACCACAGAGACCCAGTTTCAGAGAAAGCCCATTCTGAGGTTCCCGGCAGACATGAATTTGGGGGGACACCATTCCACCTGGTATAGAAGCCATGGGAGGTTGTAAGGGAAGGAAGGAAGTGGTCTGATTTTTGTCAAGATTTCTATGGGATAGCAGATGAGTCTGATGGCTTCTTATTCACATGATAGATGATGAGGGAGGATTAGGAGCTATAGGGACTTAGGGTCACAAGGAAAGACAATGGATATAACTGATGGGGGGTGATGGATGCAGATGAAGAGAGCAGGTCATCCAGGACGACTCTGAGGTTTCAGCTCACCCCTCTGCAGAATCCCTCCACAGCTTCCCTTGGCCTGGCTCAGTCAGAGCTCAGAGCCTGCCCTTCCCCATTCTGGGCTTACCTGTCCTCGCTGCTCCCTCGATGCTGGGCCTGGCCATGCCCCTTCACTGTTTGGCCTTACTGTGGATCCCTTGTCACCAGGCTGTGTGTGTGATCAACTTCTGCTAGGCCTAGCTGTCCCTTTTTCCAGGAAGCCTGGCTCCTCTCCCCAGCTCTGGGTCAGGGCTCTCCGATACTTGGTCAGCATTTATCTGCCCTCCTGGGTGGCAGGCCCTAGGAAGAAAGGGACTCCCCATGGCATTGCTAACTACAAAGCCCAGGGCCCCACACAAGAAAGAAGAGCTTCAGCTGGTACTTAGGGCTATGGGGAGGATTTTGGGTAGAATGCAGTCCTGAGGAAGCTCAGGATTTGAAGAAGGCAGGCCATGCCAGCACTCCAGAGAGAAGAACTTACAGGCTATTCCTAAGTAGTTGCAGCCCCAGGCCGTCCCTTAAGGAGGTGGTGGCCATGTGAATAGTAGACCTGGGGCTCCACTCCACAAGATCTGGTATTCATGGTGTAGGCTGGGGATGGACACACCACCTTGTAATGCCATGGAAAGTCCTTACAGAGCCCGTCCTGCAGAGGCTTGGAACTAGTGCAAGCCTTGTTCTAGGATCTCCTTCAAGACTAGGCTCAGGAGGGAAAGAGGGATGCTTAGACCCCACAGAGAAGTCTGATCACAGCTACCCTCAGGCCCCAGAGAAGTGGTGGTCATGCCAAACAAACGGGTTCAGAATCAGGTTGACCTCTGCCTTGAAGAGGACAAACCCAGCTAGGGACCAAGATGCCTCAGCTGGAAAGACCCTGCTAGGACCCAGGACTTAGCTGAGCAGCTTTGCCACTGCCGTTGCTCCTTGGAGACTCCATTCTGAGCAGAAGGTGATGGCAGACCATGGAAGGGTCTCACGGGGGTGGAACCCAAATCTGTGCCCCAGGAAGTTGTGAGAGAGCAGCTAGTGAGGGATGGTGGCAAGCTGGGTGAGGTGCCAAGAGGGCAAGTGTGATGTGGTCCATCTTTCATGTGCTTCCAGATCACCTGAAGGATGTGTCCATGTCCCGTGGGCTAATAAGTAGGATGCCTTCAAAGCCCTTTAGGGACTCTTCCCAGCTGGCCTAAGGAAATCAGAGAGACCTCTGCAACTTTCTGCTAAGGAAGTCTGCCATATGGCTGAGTGACTATGGCCATGTCAGTGTGGGAACCTTGGTCAGAGTAGCACAGACCTGGCTCAGGTCCCAGTGCAGCAGGTAGATGTGGGGCAGCTGCAACCTGGGCACAGGTGGGTTAGGACTGCCTGTCTACTTTCAAAGCCATTCTGCCTAATCTCTAGCTCCAAATTTATAGGGCCATGTGTGCCTTAGGACAAGTATTGGTGTCTGCCACAGTCCTTGTGTCTGAGGAGTTTCTTTGCTGGGACAGGAGGTGAAGGATAAACTTGACTTACCTGGAGAGGCCCTGATGAGCCTTGGGTCACTGTGGACTTAAAGGACAACAACCATGTTGGAAGGGCCTTGGGAGACAGAATGAGTGGCTCAGCCTAGAAGTTAATTTCTTTTTTTTTTTTTAATCTTTTAAATTTTTTTTAATATATTTTTCTTTTAGTTGTAGTTGGACACAATATCTTAATTTTATTTATTTTTATGTGGCGCTGAGGTTGGAACCTAGGGCCTCACACATGCTAGGCAAGTGCTCTACTGCTGAGCCACAACCCCAGCCCAAGAAGTTCATTTCTTTATGTGTTTTATTGTTGTTGTTGTTGGTGGTGGTGGTGGTGGTTTTTTTGCATTGCTGGGGATAGAACACAGCCCTTGCACATGCTAGACAAGTGCTCTACCACTAAGCCACATCCCAAGCCCTAGGCCTGAAGGTTAAGACCAGGGGAGGAAGGTACAGTTGCTGGGCTGAGCTAACCAGGTAGCCCCTGCTGGCTCTGGCTCAGCCAGGGCCTTAGGGCCTAGGCTCCTCTTGACTCCATATTCTGGATCACATGGCCGGGGATGCACTCACTGACTGGGAATTGATTTCCAGATGTCCTGTGCAGGGTAGCAGCAGTAACCTCTATCCCAGGTGGCTTCCTTCTTCATCAGTGACCCCCAGAGGTGGGAGATCTGGGGTGGTTGCTATGAGTAAGGTGGGAGATCTCGCTTGTGTTTCCTCAGGTTAGAAATCTGTGCTACATGGTGACAAGGCGCGAGAGAACAAAACACGCCATCTGCAAGCTCCAGGAGCAGATATTCCACCTGCAGATGAAACTTATTGAACAGGATCTGTGTCGAGGTAGGAGCTTCTCTATTGGCCACCCGCCACCTCTGTGTGCACTCGGGTGTAGGGCTGGATCCCAAGGAGGGTGTGTTTGGGGGGCATGTGTGTAAAGCCAGGGGCATTAGCCCCTCTCTTTCCATTATCCAGTTACTAGGCCCAGATAGGTCCTTGCCAAGGTCCAGCTTGTAGTGGTGGGCAAGGAGCCAGAGTTTAAAATGTGGGCACAAGACCTGCCCGCTGGGGGCTTTACTGTTTCACTGAGTCACCACAGCTTAGCAGCAGGTACAAACCCAAAGTCCTAGGAGCTCTCTGCTGAATTGAGGCAGGACAAGCAGGAAACTTGTGAGCTTCTTTGAACCCCCATGTTCCTGGGAGTTAGTACAAGAAAGGCAGCTGAGCTGGGTCAGAGCCCTTGTATTCCTTCTTTCTGACCCCATGTAACCAGATTCAGGCCCTGTGTTAGTTAGCAGCATTTTCCCTGTTGCATTCTTATTCTGTATTCTGTTGCATGTATCAAACAGCTCTGGAAAGCAAAGAAGCTTTGACCTTGATCTTATGGGTTAATTGTGGATATTGCCAGACATGGGGCCCTTCCTGGAGTGTGGACGTGTTAAGAAGGGCAGGGCTTAACCTAAAGCAGTTGTGCCCTAACGTTGAACTCGCACACAGCAGAAATAGCTGAGTGGAGAGAGATTTTTGAGCCAGCCACCGGCTGCCACTGCCAGCTCAGCCTTAAGGTCAGGCTGGGCCCAGAGTGAAGAGGAGGGAGGGGAGCTGCTAGGCTACCCTCTGAGCAGGCGACTGAGCACTGGTCCTCCCCACATCCCTGCCAAAAGCTGAATTGCCTCCATGTGCTTTGGGATCGCCACCCACTCTGGCTTAAGAAACTGCCATCGACAGCTCCAGGTGCTGGGTCAGGGTGGGTCATGCCATGCTGAGCTCACTGTGAACAAAGGCTGGCTGGTAGCCTCCTTCCAGGCTCCTTGTCTTCTCTTTAATCATTCAGAAGCCCAGGGTTCCTGTCCCCATAGGCCTCACCATCTGGAGAAAAGACAATGGTATCCCAAAGCTGTAGTCAGTGGCAGTATAGGGACAGAGGTATCAGTGGTGACACTGATACTCCCTAGCACTTGACTATGGCCACACATCTGGCTGCAAAGACACCCACACAAGACTCCGACAGCCAAAGAAGCTGAGGTTGGCAAGGCAGGGACAGTGCCCTGGGGCATAGGATCCTAGAAACTGGAGGGTCTGGCCAGGATACAAACCTGTAATCCCAGTTACTCAGGAGACTGAGGCAAGAGGATTGTAAGTTTGAGATCAGCCTAATGAGACCCTATCTCAAAAAAAGTAAAAATTCAAAAAGGGTTGGGGATGCAGTTCACTGGTAAAGTGTCCTGGGTTCAACCCCCACTACCGAAAAGAAAAGAAAGAAAGAAAACAAGAAACTGGAGAATTTGCATCCCTTCCTTGGGTCCTTGGGTCTGGGAACATTTACAGCAGCTCCTTTTCCTGATAATAGGCAGGACATTTGGACGGAAGACTGGTTTGCCCCTGCCTGAAGTTGATACCCATACTAGTGTGACATTTGTGACCCATGACCTCCAGGGTGGGACATAAGTTGCTGAGTCCTGTCTGTCCCTGTGGGCTGGGAGGGCCTCCCAGTGGAGACCTGGATCTGAACTGGGTGAAGGACAAGTAAGTAGCGTATTTGGAGACTGAGGCAGAACCTGTGTTGGTAGAGAACCTGGAATGACTCTGACGTGACTGCAGGTTGGGGAAAGGTAGGAGGCTGTGGGCTAGCCAGAGTGAGATAGGCAGGTCTTGTGGTCTAGGGGAAGGAGTCTCAACTGTCCAAGGGCAGTGGACAGCCTCCTGCAAAGTGTCGGACATGGGGTCCATGTTACAGGTGAGGAGACTGAGGCCTGAGGTTGCTCTGGGAACCAGCAGAAGAGCTGGGGCCACATCCCTCCACTTACTCTGAACCTTGTGCAGCAATCCATCCTGCCTGTGGCCAAGAAGCTAGGAGGATTCGGGGCAGCTCCACCCCTCCTCCATGTTCTTCCCCTAGACTTGCAAGGTGATCATGGACTGAAAGGATAAGAGAGCCAGGTGTGCAGCCTGAATCTCCCATCTGCTGCCTGACCTGAGATGCAGACCAGGGATCAAGGCAGGAGACTTGCTCAAGGGGGCTGACCGGATTGTTAGGACTGGAATCCAAGCCTCTTGCCCCTAAGATGATGTTCTTTCCCCCTTGTGTCCAGCCGTCCTTCCCACTGTCCAGGACTCTCCCAAGGTTTAAGTTGTTCAGGTCAGACTGAAGTTAACATTCTGCAAGAGCCTTTCCTCTTGGCCTCGTGCCCACCTCAAGACCCCAAATGGCAGCAGTGTTCAGTTAGCCCTTGGTCCCACACCAGCTGTCCCCTGACAGTGCTCAGAGGCTCCTGGCTTTGACCTTGGTACAGTGGAGGCTGTGCATGGGCTGATGATTCTTAGGCTGCCACTCAGTGATGGTGGTCCAGACCAAGGCTACCTGGGTAATCATCTCCTTCCTCTCATTTTCCTGACACAGAGCGGTCTGGGAGGAGAGCAAAGGGCAAGAAGAGCGACTCAAAAAAGAAAGGTCACGAAGGCCCTAAGGGCAGTAGCCCTGAGAAGAAAGAGAAAGTGAAGGCTGGGCCAGACTCCGTGCTGGGGCAGCTGGGTGAGTGAGGGGCCGCACTGACCCCACAGACACAAGCTCACACTGTCACCTGCTTGCAGCCACACTCCCACATAAGACCAAGTGCTTACAACTTCCAGCCACAAAGGAGATGGGTCTCAGGGCCCCACTTGGCATCCTGAGAAATTCCCTTCTGTAGATATGGATAGAGGCTGTGGAATTCAGGGACTACCCATTCATTTGCCATGCTGGGGTCCAGGGTGCTAGATTGTCACAGAGGGCCATAGGCCAGCACCAGGCTAAGCAGGGAGAATTGCCGGAAATCCTTGCCCCCTTCTCTTCCTGCCTGTCCCTTAAATGGGCTCATCCTTCAACTCCAGCAAACCTTAATGGAACTATCACCCAGAGAGATCCAGAGGAGTGGCAGTCTGCCTTTATGTCACTGTCACAGGCCTTCTTCCTGCCCCATTGGGCGGAGCAGCCCTCACGGGCTCTGACTCTGGGATGTCACACACTTAAGAGTTCTTCTCAGACAGCAGGGTAGAGCTCCCTTCCAGACCTCACCTCAGCACAGAAGCCCCAGGTCATCTTTTATGTCCCTGCACATCAAGATGGGGACACTTGAATGATCTCTAAAGGGAGGCCCTGATACCTTCCTACCCTGACTGTGCTGGGTGTTTTGCTGCAAGTGCTCAAAGAGAGCCCACATGGTGAGGCAGCGCCCCCTGGTGGCTAGAGGTCGTTTTTCTCCGTTCTTCCTTCCCTGAAAACCTGATTAAACAGGGCCGCTACCATTGGTTTATTCTTTGCTTTTGCCACCTTGAGATTCTTAGTGATTTGGGCAAGTACCATTTCTACTCCAAAATTTATGAAGCCAACTCTGGGGGTAGGCTATCTTTCTCAGGAGAAAGTAGTGGCGAGGGATGGGCCCAACAAGATAGCTCACCTGGGTCAGTCGTGAAGGAGGGTGGGCAAGGGCTCCTGAAAGGGCAGGACGTGTCCCCGCTGCATCTTACCTGCCCTCTCTCTCCCTTGGTCAGGGCTGTCCACCTCATTCCCCATCGACGGCACCTTCTTCAACAGCTGGCTGGCACAGTCAGTGCAGATCACAGCAGAGGACATGGCCATGAGCGAGTGGTCGCTGAACAATGGGCACCGTGAGGACCCCGTTCCGGGGCTGCTGTCAGAAGAGCTGCTGCAGGACGAGGAGACACTGCTCAGCTTCATGCGGGACCCCTCCCTGCGACCTGGCGACCCTGCCAGGAAAGCCCGGGGCCGCACCCGCCTGCCTGCCAAGAAGAAACCACCACCGCTGCAGGATGGTTCGCGGACAACTCCAGACAAAGCCCCCAAGAAGCCCTGGGGCCAGGAGGCAGGCAGTGGCAAGGGTGGGCAGGGTCCACCTGCCAGGAAACCACCACGGCGGACGTCTTCTCACTTGCCGTCCAGCCCTACAGCTGGGGACTGTCCCATCCCAGTGGCCCCCAAAAGCCCCCCTCCACTGGCTCCTGAGACCCCAGTCGAGGCAGTCCCCATGGCTGCTGACTCGAATGTGCAAGTGCCTGGCCCTATGGTGAGCCCCAAGCCCTTGGGTCGGCTCCGGCCACCCCGTGAGAGCAAAGCCACCCGGAGATCACTGGGTGCCAGGCCTGATGCTGGGACAGGACCGCCTTCTGCTGTGGCCGAGAGGCCAAAGGTCAGCCTACACTTTGACACTGAGACTGATGGCTACTTCTCTGATGGGGAGATGAGCGACTCGGATGTAGAGGCCGAGGACAGCGGGATACAGCGGGGTTCCCGAGAGGCAGGGGCTGAGGAGGTGGTCCGCATGGGTGTACTGGCCTCCTAATTCACCCTACCCCTGTCCCAGGTCCTGCCCTGGTCCCTGATAAGGCCTCAGCCCAGTCACAACTGCCATTTCCAATCTCTGCTGAGTGTCCCAGACCCTTGAGGCTGCCACTCTGTTGTGGTTTTATTTTTAATATAGAGAGTTTTGAATTCCACACTGTTGTCTTTCCTCTGTGCTGGCCTAGGACATTAGGATTCCTTCCATGGTTCTGGCCACAAGGACCATACCAGGTCCTGTGTGCCACCTCTGTCCCGGCCCACGCAGCATTGCTGGGCTTCTGGTTAGATGTAGGCAAGGTGAAGAAGCGCTCAGGACTCAAGCCCGCTGCCACTGGGTGACAGACTGTCGTTTGGGCATTATTTCATGGCAGATGGGCCAGCCCAGGGCCTTCCCCACCTTGCCCTCAGATCACACTGGGGCCCATAAGGGGGGGGGGGGGGTCCTGCTGCACTCCACTGATCCCCAAGGAAGTATAATAAATGTTAACCCAGCCAGAGTCTACTCACTGTCACAAGCACAACGAGTTTATAAGAGAAAGCACTGAGGGGGCGCAGGGGGCCCACTGGTTCCTGACCAACCCACATCATCTGAGGCCTGCCCGCCTACCCCACCACCCTCCCCTCCCTTGATGCTCTGCCCCTGCCAGTGCCCAGCCCAGCAGCTCTGGGAAGGGGTTCCCAGAATCCTTCCTGAGCTGTTCATTTACTCAGGGGACTCCCAAACAGCCAGCCACCAGTGCCGGTGGAGGGCTCCAAGGGAGGGCCAGTGCCCAGCCAGGGGCGTGGGGCTCAGACCAGCCCACTGCAGAGAATCACTCTGGGGCTCCAACTTCCTTCCTTCGGGGCCAGTCTCGGCTAAAGTCTGGTCACTCCCACGTGGAGCTGGCCAGACCAGACCGTTTGCCTTTTCAAGTTTCTTAGTCCTGCTAAAAGATGAGCTTCTTCCTCGGTTTCCTTTTGGAAACACCTCCTTCCAACAAGCAGTGGGATCCCGGGGCCAGAGCAGGCCAGTGTCGGCCTGCTGGGGCTGGTTGAAGTCTTGCTGGATGTTCTCCTGTTCCTGTGTCCCTTGGCGCCTTAATCCTGTTCCTTGTACCCCCATCCCACCCCACCCTGCCTCACCCCACCTTTCCTGACCTCTAGGTCCCAGATAGTTGCTCTGAAGAGTTTTCCGTGGAGTGGCCCCAGGGTGATAGCTCAGGGAACAAACATAAAAGGAATTCCGTGAAAACTTTTTTTTTTTTTTTCCTCTTAACGAATTACTCCTGGGTCACTTCCACCACTGGTAAAGCCAGAACTTCTCCAACAAGAACCTTGCAAAAGTCCAGTGAATCAGTCGAATCATTCTATGGATGCCAAAGAATATTTTGACCATAATACAGCACAGTCTGAACCTGACAACTTGTCACTGGGACTTTTTTTTAAATGGAGTTCTTTAGCAACAAAGTACAGAAACACGTTCATTGCGCACACCCACGGAGAGCCCAAGGTCCTTGGAGCAGGATGCTTTGCTGCTGCTGCTGCTGCTGCTGCTGCTGCTGCTCTGTACCTGGGTGTTGGATTTCAGACCCTGGGCTGGGCCACTGTGAGCATTCCTAAACTCTGAGACTCCCAGGGGAAATCCTGACTGTGAAACCAGCGTGGAAACCGTCTTTACCATGTGGACCCTCCCACCGCCCCCCCCCGCACGAATACACAAAGAGCAAACAAGCGGGATGGGGAACAACTTAACCTTCACCCCTCCCCTGACTCCAAACTTAACAAGGTACGACAGTGGCATTGTCATCAACACTCAATCTCGTGAATTTTAGCAAAACCAGAAACAAAGAGAATGACTTCAGTTCAGAGGATCGGGCAAATTTGTCCAGTCCGAGTGGACTCTTGAGGGAGTGGGTGGGCTCCAAGGATCCTGGGCGTTGGGATGGCATGAGCTACCACGTAGACTTAGTCTGCCTGCCCGCCTTGGTAGTAGTGACAGTGCATTGTTAGCATGGGCATCCCAACCCCAGTCTCTGTTTACTGCCTTTGAACAGACCTTCCTTCCCCGTGCTTCGGGTCACTTCGGGTCGCAACCTTCTCTGTGCCGGACTGCCTGGTCTGGCCCTGGGGTGAACAAAGGGGTGAGCTTAAAGAACAACCAAACTCTGCCAGGGGTGGAGCGCCAGTCAGGCTCAGGGTTCAGCAGTCTTGACACTTGCCCCGACCCGTTCACTCCATCTCGGGGCAGGGTCTGGGCTCTGAATGGAGAATCAAGGGGTGAGTGAATTTTAGAAAAATCTAGCCTCTCGCCCTGGGGCTGGCCTTGCCTCTAAGCCAGGACCTAGGCTGGGCATGCAGATGGGGTGGCTGGCATTTCTTCAGGAAGCCTCTGCTAGTGACGGCCTCTGGATTCTGGCCCCTCTTCTCTGTTGGCTTTTGCTTTGGACTAGACTGTTCCTGCAGTCTGTGTCCTGGAAAGCCCAGGGGTCTCTGGGCCAGTCGCTCCCAGGCCAGGCCCTAGAGCAGTCTTTACCAGGCAGCTGACTCCACCTCCAGGATGTCCACCAGGCTCCAGGGAGGACAAAGATGCCAGTCTCTCCTCCCTCCTACCCCCAGTGGCTCCCAGTTTTCCCCATTAGCCACAGCCCCTTCATTCATTCTTTCTAACCCACTATCCACAATGGACAGGGCTGTGTTGCCCTCTGAGACCAAGAAGGTTCCTTTTCCAGACCAGAGGCAGATCTTTTTCTTGACCACATCTGCCCACATTCATAGTTCCTCCACAGGGAGGCAGAAGCTGCTCCGTAAACTCATTCTGGCTATATAGTCCCCCATTCTCACAGTCCCGCTGCCTTCCACCTCCTTCCCTCTCATTATGTGACAAAGGATAATGTGCAAGGAAAGTATTTTTATGTATTATAAATGTATTTTGAAACAAATAAGGAGAAGAAAGGTAGAATGCTCATTTACTTTCTTAAATGAGCTCTGATTTTGTGACGGTATATGAGTTTTTGCAATGTAAGGGACTCAGCTTCTTTGGAGAGGCCACCCAGGTTTCCAGACGTGGGCATTGGACCTTAGTGGTGTGCATGTGTGCCAGAGTATGTCTTGTGTCTCCGTACATGCACATCTGGGTGCATTGCAGAGAGTCGCACCATGGGACTTGCTGGGGCAATTCCTAGAGATTCAACTGGCCGATGCTAACAAACCCTGGCAGCAGCTGGATTTGGCATTTCCTTGCTCACTGCCAGATGTGGCCAACCTCTGGCTGTACTCAAAACTCTGCAGAATGATCTGGATTCCTGTAGCAAGGCCCTTGGGGAGGCCACTCTCCAATGTCCCTGGCCCTGCTGGCCACATTGGCCAAAGAGCCAGGGCTGGAGTCTGGGACCTTTGGTTGTTCTTTAAGGCACTTCCTTCCGCTTTCTCCCTCAGATGCACACTGTGTGCTCCAAATCATTTGGGGGGTGGCGGTGGGGGGGGTGATATGAATGTCACAGGAGGAGACACCTTCTGTCTTTGTTTCAAAGAAAGTGATGTGCCATTTGTTAATATACAAGAGAAATATTGAAAATATATTGAAAAGAGCAATTTTAAATTATTTTTGGCTTATGTTGCAATATTTATTTTCTTGTATTAGAAAAGATTCCTTTGTAGAGAAAAAAATGTATTTTTCATTACCGCAAAGACCTATTTCTCCTTTTTGTACATTGTCCATGTTCGCAACCCTTAATGAGCAATAGAATGTATGGTCACCTCGGTGTGGCCAATGCCCGCTGTGCCCTGCATGATTCTGTGTTGCTGCTGCTGCATAGCTCCCAACCCCATCCTGTCCTGCTCACTCATGGGGGTTCCAGACCCCGGCCCCCACCAGGGCCTGTGTCTTATGGAGCCCTCTGCACTCCTCGTGTGTTGGCAAATGCAGTTAATAAAGCAATGTTTTCTGTGCTGGCTGGTGTGAGGCTCCATTGAGTTGGGTGGGTAGGGGACCTGAGGCCCTTACACTGCACACACCCAACAGTGGTCTTAGCAAGAGTTCCCTGAATCCCAAGAGACCTACTGCAAACTCCTAAAGAACTATGTGGTGCCATGTAGTGGTGCACGCCTGTAATCCCAGTGGCTCAGGAGGCTGAGGCAGGAGGATCGTGAGTTCAAAGCCAGCCTCAGCAAAAGCGAGGTGCTAAGCCAGTGAGACCCTGTCTCTAAATAAAAAATACAAAATGGGGCTCGGGATGTGACTCAGTGGTCAAGTGCCCCCAAGTTCAATCCCCGGTACCAAAAAAAAAAAAAACCCAAAAAAACAAGAACCATGAGAGTGGTTTAACCAGTGAGTGTATTTAACCAGTGGATGTTAAATACACACCAGGGCCAGAGTCTAAGGGCACCGTTTCAACTGATCTTCACAGTACAGTCCCTGGAAATCAGAGAGGTTGCAGAATATGCCCAAAGCCACACCTCTGGTAAGAGACAGTTCTACATCAAAGGCAGTACTGCTGCATGATTTCACCACCTCCAGACACCTGCCTGGTACAGCGGGAGAATTTGGGAGGTTTCTCTGTTCAGTTTGCCTGGGTTTGTTTTGGAAAGAGTGAGGAATATAGCTGCCCTCCCTGCTCTGGGTCAGCTCACAGTTCAGAGGAAATGACACCGTTCCTTTGTTCATTCAGCAATTGGTCTATTGACCATACATCCGCCTCACTGCCAGTATGCTGGCTTATGTGATTGTGCCCACAGCCTCCAGGCAATGGAGACCACAGGGATCAATAATTGCTAACTCACGGGATTCTGTGGAGCTGGTGAAGGGGCATTCCCAGCAGAGAGCTCAGCAGAGGTCTTGGAGTGCAGGCCCAGGGGAAGGCTGTGCAGAAAAGAGATTGAATTGGTGAATCCAGAATTAGATAGGCAGCCAGTAGGTAAATCAAGTCAGGTTGGATCAATTTTGAATGAGTCCGGGAAGTTGGAGGCTGCCGCCTGAGGGATTGAAATGTCAATTCTTTCGGAGCCCTTCCTCCACCCTTATCAAGAACCTACCCCTGATGTGATGGTCATCATTATACAAAATACATTTATGACGATTTAAAAAAAAAGAAGAAGAACCTGCCCCTGCTCAACATGTTACTAAGGTAACCTGTCCCAGGAATTGCCCTCCACTACAGGGAGCTATAAGGTTGTTAATTAATGCATCCTGGGCTGCTCCATCCTGGTCTTCTTCCCCCTTCAGCCCACCTGTGTCCCACCTTTTGGCCGACCATGAGCATTCCTGGGCTAGACACGTATGCAGGAAGGAGAGAGATAAGGGGAAGAGGGCAGAAGAACAAAGGAATCCTAGGACATACAAAAAGGGCAGAACACCTTGCTTCTTGGGATACCAGGATTTCAGCTATGGAATATGCTTGCCTCGGTGTGCTTCTCTAATGCTCAAACTTCATCATGTGAGGAAGCAGAACTCGTCATCGATAACTGGCGATATCATTGGGACTCCAAGAATCTAGCTTCTAAGGCCACTGACCTAGTCACTTGTCACAGAGAAAGCCCCCTTTCCTCACCACAATAGGCAGCAGGTCCCTAAGGGTGCCTCCAGAACCCAGATCCTGGGTGTCTGCAACACTGAAGGCATTGGAAATAAGCCTGGGATGGACTATGAATGTGCCCTGAAGGCCTGTGGAGGGCTCATTTCTGCTGGAGAGTTCTCGGGGCACCAAACCCCAGAACCCAGCAGCTTAGCTGGGAGTGGGAAGGGCATAGGGGTCTTAACACTGGTGTTGGGGCTAAGAGGGATCCTGGGTGGACAGTCCACCTAACAGGATAAGGAGCTGTCAGTACCTTGGCCTCTCTGTCCTCTAACAGACTCCCTTAAACGAGGCCCACTGTGGGACCACTTGACCACAGCAGTCCAGAAGAACAACGCTGCAGCCCCATTATAAGAACAATACCTGTGCACCTGCCCCAGCTGACGAGTGTGGGGCAGCAGAGCCAAAGGCACCAGAGGGTCAAGGCAACGCTGTTCAATAGGAATACAGTCAGCCACACAATGTTATTCTAGTAGTCACATATTATTAATTTATTCATTTTGGTTCTGTGGATTGAACCCAAGGACATTTAACCACTAAGCCACATCCCCAGCCCTCTTTATTTATTTTTTATTTTTTTTTTTATTTTTTAAAGAGAGAGGGAGAGGGAGAGAGAGAGAGAGAGAGAGAGAGAGAGAGAATTTTTAATATTTATTTTTTAGTTTTCGGCGGACACAACATCTTTGTTTGTATGTGGTGCTAAGGATCGAACCCAGGCCACACGCATGCCAGGCGAGCGCGCTACTGCTTGAGCCACATCCCCAGCCCCCCCTTCATTTTTTATACAAATAAATAAAGTGAGAGATAGGATCTCACTAAGTTGCTTAGGGGCCCCAATAAGTGGCTGAGGCTGGCTTCAAATTAGTGATCCTCCTGCCTCAGCTTCTCAAGCCTCGGGGATTACAAGGATGAGCCACTGTGCCCAGCTTTATTTTTTATTTTAAGACAGGATCTAAATTGGAAGATTGAGACAGGGTTCCATTAAGTTGCTTAGGGTCTCTCTGATTTGTTGAGACTGGCTTTGAACGTGGATCCTCCTGCCTCAGCCTCCCACATAGCTAGGATTATAGACATGCACCATGCACCTGGCTTAGTAGCCACATTTTTATTTTATTTATTTGTTTATTTGGGAGGGTACCAGGAATCAAACTTAGAGGCACTCGACCACTGAGCCACATCCCCAGCCTTATTTTGTAATTTATTTAGAGACAGGGTCTCTCTGAGTTGCTTAGCACCTTGTTTCTGCTGAGGCTGGCTTTGAACTCCTGATCCTCCTGTCTCAACCTCCTGAGCCACTGGGATTACAGGTGTATGCCAGTGTGCCCAGCTCACATTTTTATTTTTATTTATTTATTTTGGTACCAGGGATTGAACGCAGGAGTGCTTAACCACTGAGCCACATTCCCAGCCCTTTTTGTATTTTATTTAGAGACAGGGTCTCGATGAGTTGCTCAGGGCCTCACTAAATTGCTGAGGCTGGCTTTGAACTCACAATCCTCTTGTCTTAGCCTCCAAACTGCTGGGATTACAGGTGTGCACCACCACACCCAGCAGTAGCCACATTTTTAAAAAGTAAAAAGCTAGTAAAAGGAATTTTAATAATTTATTTAACCCATTTTATCTAAAACATGATTATTTAAACATAATAAAAACTTTTTTATGTGTGGTGATAGAAATCAAACCCAGGGCCTTGCACATGCTAACAAGGGCTCTACCGCTTCGCTACATTCCCAGCCCTTTTTAATTTTTTTTTTTTATTTTGGGTCAGGGAGTTGGTCTCATTAACTTGCTCAGACTAGTCTCAAACTTGAGACCTTCCTACCTCAGCCTGCCAAGTAGCAGGGATTATAAGTGTGTGCCACCATACCCGGCTAGAATAACTTGTTTTGTTTAGTACTGGAGATTGAACCCAGGGGTACTTTATCACTGAGCCACATCCCCAGCCCTTTTTATTTTTTATTTTGAGACAGGGTTAAAGTCTCTGAGAACCTTACTAAATTGCTGAAGCTAGCCTCGAACTTGTGATCCTCCTGCCTCAGCCTCCTGAGCCACTAGGATTATAGGAATATACTATCATACCCTTAGAATAACTCTTTTTTATTGGTACCAGGGATTGAACCTAGGGGCACTTAACCACATTCCCAGCCCTTTTTATGTTTCCTGTTTGTTTGTTTTGTTTTGTTTTAATTTTGAGGCAGGTTCTTGCCAAGTTGTTCAGGGCCTTGCTAAATTGCTGAAGCTGGCTTTGAACTCACGATCCTCCTGCCTCAGGCTCCCAAGTCACTTGGATTACAGGCAAGTGCCACCATGCCCAGATTTAGAATAACTCTTATTTTTTAGTTATAGGCGGACACAATATCTTTATTTTATTCTCATGTGGTGCTGAGGATCGAACCTAGTGCCTCATGCAGGCTAGGCAAGCACTCTACCTCTGAGCCACAACTCCAGTCCAAGAATAACACATGACTCACTTCCATAAGGACCTCTAGCTCTGCGCCCTTGAGTCCCCAGTCAGGCAGAATCCTTAAGACAAGCATCACATCTTATCTGTGCTCCTAGGCCTCCCCTGTGGTTACCTGTGCTGTCCCTGTTTCCTGAGAAGGGACCCCTAGGACAAAAGAGCACAAGTGTGAGGCTGACCTGGTGGCATCTCTCCATGGTGAGTCATTTCCTTCCAGCCAGTTCTCACAGCTGGAAGACACAGGGGTCTGAGAGGAGGCAGGGTTGGGGGGAAATCTGGATGTCACTCATCTACTCTTCATTCAGTATGCACTGATTGAGCACCTGCTGCAGGGCTCTAGGACATGGTAGTGACCATATGCTTCTTCCTGAGAGACCAGGCCAGTGTGGGAGACATGTCCATGAGACAACGGCAAACCAGTGCCGTTACATACTGAGACTGTGCTGATGGAGAGCATCAACATGACACAGCCCCTCCCTGATTCTCTTTTTTTTTTTTGGAACTGGGATTGAACTCAGGGGCACTTGATCACTGAGCCACATTCCCAGCTCTACTTTGTATTTTATTTAGAGACAGGGTCTCACTGAGTTGCTTAGCGTCTTGCTGTTGCTGAGGCTGGCTTTGAACTCACAATTCTCCTGTCTCCACCTCCCAAGCCGCTGGGATCATAGGCATGTTCCGCTGCGCCTGGCCCGAATTCCGTTATTTCTCTAAATTCCTGGAGTAGGATCCGGGTGCCACTTGCCAATCACCTGGACCCAGCCTAGATGCTATCAGCTGCAGGTCCCAAGGACACAGGGCCAGGACACATTCCCAGTTGCAGAGCTGCCTGTCCTTCCTAAGGGTCCTGCACACCACTGCCCTTTGCCAGCAGGGCCAGAAAAGGATCTTCTCCATCCATCTACAGGAACAGGCTG